AGAGATGCAGATGAAAACAACACTGAGATTCCACCTCACCCCAGAAAGAATGGCTGCTATCATGAAATCTACCAATAACAAATGCTGGTGGGGCTGTGGGGCAAAGGAACCCTTCTCCATTGCTGGTGGGAGTGCAGACTGGTGCAACCACTATGGAAATCAGTATGGAGATACCTCAAAGAACTAGGGCTAGAGGTCCCATTTGACCCAGCTATGCCTCTGCTGGGGATCTTCCCCAAAGAATTGAAAGAATCAATACCATCTCACTGCTTCCTGGTTGTCTTCACAGAAGAGGCTTTCTTTTGCCCAGACACCTCCATCATGCTGCAGACCATGCAAGGGCTGAAAGTTCTAAAAAGTTGTCCCCTGAAATACTGACTTGAATTATTCTGAAAAGCTCCTGACCACTTTGTTATTACCAAAACTTTGTGGCTGAGGCCCAGAAAGTGAGCCTGTAACACATCACACCTTTCTCAGATTGTCATCAAAGACCCTTTCAAATTCATTTTGACTATATCTTTGCTTGCACTTTACCAAAGAAGAAACTATCAAACCAAATCAACATTGCTGCTGATACAAGAGTTTGGGAAGCAGAAAATTAAAAATCTGAATATTTGTGAATGTGTAAAGAATTATAATAGGACAGTTTTTCTTTTCCAAGGTGTTCAGATCCCTGTGGAAAGTTTGTGTGGTCTTTGGACTCAAAGCCATTTTCTCCATTCTTTGGGAAAGCTCAGTGACTCTTACGTGGTGGGTGTGTTTCCTTACCAGTGTGATTTATGGGTGCCCAGACATCCCTAACAGAGAAGTGCCTGAATTCAGGGCTGATGCGCCAGGAAAGTTATGCGTGCAGTGGGATTGACAAAGCGGTGTTTGAGTTTGATGAGTGCTGAAGTTTGCAGTGTTTCCTCTGTGAGGAGGAACTCCATTGATAGGAATGCCTTCGAAACCATGAGCAGATAAGACTCAAAGCTGGCCATGTCCCTTACTGTGACATCTGCAAGAGTTCCAAAGGGCATTCTCCAGGAGTTAAGCAGAGGGCATTGGTGAGGTGCCAGAGCTGCAAAAACAACCTGTGCCTAGAGTGCCAGAAGAGAACTCATTCTGGGAGCAACAAGAGACATCCCGTTACCCTGTACAATGTCAGTAAGATCCAGGATTCCATGGACAGGGAAGCGATGGATGAGGAGACCAAGTGGAAGAAAATGACTGAGAAAGTAGTGAGTTTCCTCCTAGTAAATGGAAATGAAGAGATTCAGGTAACAAATGAAGATCACTTTATTAGGAAAATGAACTGTAAACCCAATCAGCATCTGAAGGTGGTTTCCATTTTTGGAAATACTGGTGATGGACAGTCTCATACCCTCAACCACACTTGCTTTTATGGCCATGAAGTCTTCAAAACCTCCCCTGCCCAGGAGTTCTGCATAGTGGGTGTGTGGGCAGCCTATGACCCAGTCCACAGAGTAATAGTGATAGGCATGGAAGGGCTCTTGGGGGCTATTGTGAATCTAAGCCAGAGAACACACCTGCTACTTAAGGTCCTGGCCATTTCAGACATCATCATCTATTGAACCCATCCAGAGCGCCTGCATAATGACCTCTTCAAATTCCTTGGAGATGCCTCAGAAGCTTATCTGAAGCACTTCACCAAGGAGCTTAAGGCTACCACTGCCCGCTGTGGCCTGGATGTCCCCTTATCTCCTCTGGGCCCTGCAGTTATTATTTTCCATGAGACTGTGCACACTCAACTGCTGGGCTCTGATCACCCCTCCTATGTGCCAGAGAAGCTCATCTAGGACAGGTTCAGGAAGCTAGGCCACTTCCCCGAAGCCTTTAGTTCCATTCGCTACAGGGGAACCAGGACTTACAACCCCCCACAGACTTCCCTGGGCTCAGGTGTGCTTTGGAGCAGCAGCTAGAGAACAATACCACCCGTTCTCCCTGGCACCCAGGGGTCATCTTCAAAGCCCTGAAGGCACTGAGCTACTGCTTCAGTGGGGAATTCCTGATGACCAGATGGCACACAGCTCCTTTTTCCCAGATGAGTACTTCACCTGCTCCTCTGTGTGCCTCAGCTGTGGGGTTGGATGTAAGAACAGTATGAACCATGCGAAGGAAGGAGTGCCTCATGAAGCCAAGAGTTGCTGCAGTTACTCCCACCAGTATGACAACTGCATTTATATCTGCAAGGCCTGCTAGGAGAGAGGCAAGGAAGTCAGCGTAGTACCCAAAACATCTGCTTCCACTGACTCTCCCTGGATGGGTCTTGCAAAATATGCCTGGTCTGGGTATGTGATCGAATGTCCTAACTGTGGTGTGGTCTATCAGAACTGGCAGTACTGGTTTGGGAACCGAGATCCTGTGAATACAGCGGTGCAGACAGAGATTGTGCATGTGTGGTCTGAAACTGATGGGTTTCTGAAGGACAACAACAATGCTGTCCAGCGCCTGTTGGACAGGATAAACTTCATAGCTCAGTTGGTTTTTGAGCTTAGCCTTGGGCACACCAAGGCTTTGACTTCCTGGCTGCCTACTGGAGGCCCAACTCCCAGATCCTGAACTGCAACAAGTGTGCGACATCCTTTAAAGAGAATGACACTAAGCATCACTGTCGGGCCTGTGGAGAGGGCTTCTGTGACAGCTGTTCATCTAAGACCCGGCCAGTGCCCGAGCGTGGCTGGGGACCTGCGCCCGTGTGGGTGTGTGACAACTGCTCTGGCACCAGGAATGTCTAGTTAGATATTACTGAGGCACAGGCAGAAGATGAAGGTGGAACGCTCATTGCTTGGAAGGTGGGCGAAGCTGTGCAGAACACCTTGGGATCCATGGTGACAGTCCTTGACATACCACTAGGCCTGGTGAAGGATGCAGCCAGGCCAGTGCACTGGGTGCCTGACCACAAAATCCTGCACTGCCACAACTGCCGCAAGGAGTTCAGTGTCAAACTGTCCAAGCACCACTGCCAAGCCTGTGGCCAGGGCTTCTGTGATGAGTGGTCCCACGACCGCTGGGCTGTCCCTTCTCGAAGCCGGGACCATCCTGTTTGAGTCTGCTTCACTTGCAATAAAAAACCTGGTGACCTTTAGCCCCAGCTCCTTCCAGAAGTCCTTCATAATTCCTTAGGTTCTCAGGGTTAGAAACTGAAGTCTCATTGAGATAGGCTATCCTCCTGGTCACCTGTGGTGTGTCCTCTCCTCCTCTTGTCCTGGGGCCACTTTCCCTAGGTGGGGGTGAGCCTGGGAGCAGGCACAAGGCATAACCCCCTCAGGGCAGGGGGTGGACCAAGTAGCTCTCAGCAAAGGGGAATGAGCCTGAATGCATTGCATATATTTCAGTTAAAATAATTTTTAAAAAATCTATCTCCATTATACATATGAAAGGAATTTGGAGTGTACTGAGGTTGCTGCTGGCTGCCAAGACTCACCCTGTGTGTCCCCAGCATAGAAATAAGTACATCTCCACAAAAGGAAGCCAGTTGCAGAGCTCTCATGTTTGCTGGTCACCTTTTGCTGCTCTCGCTGAGCCTGGGAAGCCTCCCTTCCCCACCTTTTCCCCTCCTACCCCTCTGCTCCTGGGGCTGAGAGCTGCCCTTCTTGCTACTTCTTTTTTTGTTTGTTTGTTATTTTATTTTATTTTATTTTATTTTATTTATTTATTTTGTATTAAATTCTTTTATTGGTACATTGTAGGTATACAACACAATTACATTTCTCATTGGGAATTGTACCTTTACATAATGCATCTTGGTTCTTATTTTTTCCCCGTTCCTTCTTGCTACTTCTATGTGGTGAAGCAGCTCAAAGGGAATTCCACTTGGGCCCTTGAGGGAATTGGATCCCAGTTCTTGGTTTAATCTTGTTTTAGTCAGAGACCACCCAGCTTAGTGTGCAGAGCACTGGAGAGTGCTGAGGGTCAGAGGTTGGGTCTTCAGCCCTAAGAAGTGAAAATGTAGTGGCTGCACTGTCCCTCATAGAGAGTGTGGAAGGAATTTGGGTTCTCAGCAGCATTTCCTGCTTGTTGATGGTTCTGTCTCCACGAGGTCTCCCTAGAAGGCTGCACCCTGCTTCTAAATTAAAGCACTTCCACCCTCCCCTGCCTCCAGCCTATGATCTGCTTCTGGGTGTAACACTAGGATTTGTTTTGCCTAGTGTCTTCTTTGTTCCAAGACACACAACCTCTCTAGCTATTGGACTGGTGATCATGAGAAATCGTCCAGGGGAACAGAGCACAGAATGGACTGTTAGTTGTTTTTCTAAGTGTATATAAATATTTCAACAGATCATAAAGAAAAAATTCTATCTCTTTGGTCCTTAGGAGAAGTCAGATGAATGTTTCTCATCAAGAGCTTGGATATCCATATTTGTCATGACTGGAAAGAGACTTGTTGTGCTGAAATCCTGTCATCAGGGTGTTTATCTTCAGTGGCCAAAAAAAAGTAAAGTAACATAGTTCTTGACTGAGCTGGTGGGTAGAGTTTTGGGGAGGTGCATGGGTGGCCGTGCCTGGCCTGAGTATCTGTATGAAGTGTACGCTGTAGTGAGTTGGTCCTTTGCAGACCTCCTTCCTGCCTCCCGTGGCCTGGCAACTGAGGCCCTGCTCTAGAACTGTATATTATCAAATTCGCCATCATAAGGGAATCTTCCTGCTGAAAAAAAAAAGAAGAAAAAAAAAGAATGATACTATAGCAATATATGTGCACCCATGTTTATAGCGGCACAGTTTGTAATAGCTAAAGCTTGGAAATAGCCCAAGTGCCCATCTACTGGAGACTGGATAAAGAGGATGTGTGTGTGTGTGTGTGTGTTTAATAAAGTGGACTAATATTTAGATTCTTGTACGGAAGATAAAATAGACCTATACGATTCTCAAGGCAGAATTTAACTACTGTTAAATATCTACTTCTCCACTAGCTATACGCGGTTGGACCCTAAAATGAGAACTATTCTTCCTAGTTCCAAAATAGTGAATGTAAGTATTTCTATTTTAAATAATATATCTCATGTCACACAGTGAATTTTGTTATCTTGTACAGTTAATATGCACAAATAATTATAATAAATGTAAAATAATATATCCCAAGATTGGGTCTTACAGACTTTTACACCAAAAATTTTTTTAAAAAATCACCCTATAAAATTTCAGTGAATATTTGATTTAGCGTATACATAATTTTAAAAATCTTTTTCCACTAGTATGTACACTCTTATTTTTCAAGGCATATTCTAAAATTAAAGATGTTTATAAGTCATAAAGTACATCTAAAATGCTGAAATATAAAATACATCGGAAAAATTTCCAAAACATAATTTTTAATCATTTTCTGAGCAAGATTGAATGGAATAAAGTATGCATTTGAATATAAAATATGTTGCTTAGAAAAATCAAAGAACATTTAAATTTTAATGATTTTTAAAATTTTATTGACCTTGGTAGAAAAAGAGACAAAACCATTTGATCTCAAACTCAGATGAAATTTTGACTTTTGCTGCTAAGGAATCCAGATTACAATAGAAAAATCATTTAACAATAGAATATTATCCTATGCCTACACAAGTAAACATTCAAATGAAAATTCATTTGAGTGTTGTGGGGAAAAAGTGTAAGAATGGGAAATTTTAAAATTTCACTGTTTGGGATTTTTGTCAACCTGGATTTTTTAAAAAGGAGAATTCAGCTAGTGGATACTAATAAGAAAAATCCTGTGGGCCAGCTCCTCTCCTAGAAACTACCACAAAGCACTGCAGCTAACTTTCATATTTTTGAAACATACATATAGAAGAAATAAAATTACACAAACCTAATAATGCCTGTAATCTCAGCATTCTATGAGGCTAAGGTAAGATGACTGTAAATTCCAGCTTAACCTGAACAACTTAACAAGACCCTGCCTCAAGATAAAAAATTAAAATGTAGCTCAATGTGAAAGACCTGAGTTCAGTCCCTAATACTTCAACAACCCCATTAATCTAAATAAGCTTGCTTATATCAAACATGCTCTAGAAATTATTAAACTTACATGGATTTTTGGATTTTACATGAAATAGTCAATCAACTATTTGTTCCTAGAGAAATATACATCCAAACATAGATGGAAGGCCAAAGTATTGCCTTGAAGGTAGAATTTCATTCACTCCTGGGAAGCACTGCAGTTGTACTAGGGAATCTGAACCTGAAGCATGATTTGAAACTAGATTTTTAGGCTCTATGTTTTCCATATTTTAGAAACAGGGAAGTATTGGTTTCAAAACTCTTGGTTTCAATAATTCATAAAGGATTCCAAAACCTCAGATGAAAAGTTAAATAGAAGTTCTGATATAATTTTTAATCAATGCAACTAGGTTTGAAGAAGATATATGTTTATTACTTTGCTGAAGTGGCTTTCATTCTAATTAAACAGGCTGAGGTAGATTATTTATCTTCAGATTTATAAACATAATCCCTAATACATACAATTGTTAACATTTCTGCAGATTGTTCCATACAAATATAACTCTTTCAGGCATGTTGAAATATTTCTTTTGAAAAGCCTATAAATCTCTAGGCAGTTAATTAGCACAAAAGCATTAAAATACAAAATTATAAATATGAAAAAGAGTTTAAGACAAAAATGATTTAAATCACTCTAAGATTACAGACTATCCATCCCAAAGCAATTGTTTCTTTAATTAAAAAATAGCTTTGAGAAAAGATTCTGGATTTCTTTATGATGCTGTTTGGGCAAGGCATCTAAAGTTTTCCTCTTCCTCCTCCTTCTTTATGTTTAATTTGGAAATGGTCTCTTAGCAGCTCTCTCATTTATCCAAGTCTACATGTCTGAATCCCTACAGCTACCTTCATAATGTTTCCTATTTGACATTAATTCCAATAGAAGATGCTTTTCTAAGGATGTTACTTATAATTTATAAAACCAAAATGGAAGCAGTGGTTCTTCACATCTTCCCAAGCCATGGCACACTGGAGTGTGCACAGGGCCCATATTACATGCATTAGGTCTGGTCATCCCTGCCCTCTCCACAAGCTTTGGTTCCCAGCTGGAGCACCCCCAGCTATACCTCACTCCATTCCTGAAGTTGTAAAACCACAGCAGTGCCTGCCATCTCATCTCCTCACCCACAGGCTTTCTCTGCTTCCCATTGGTTGAAGGCTGTCATCATGGCCACTGGAATTGTTGCCATGGTAATTATCTATCCATGTCTGGCCCAACTCAATACATGGATACTTTGGTTTCCCCAGAGGATATCTGGTGGGCTGCCATATGAGGACCTGGAAGTGTGTGGCAAATTCACACTGAGAGGAGAGAGAGATAGATTGGAAATATAGTAGCTCCATATGCCTTGGCTTCCATCTGACTGGGCAGTCACTTTACATTCCTAAGAAGCCATAGCCCACTCAGGAAGGTAACACTTTGTATTTGTTTTTTGTCTTTCCCTGCCTCACTTTCAGTTTTCCTTCACTTCTGCATCTTGAGATTGCATACCCTTTACCCTCCCTGTAAAATTTTAATTAGCATGTAAGGTTTTACAGGTTCTCTATTCTAGGGAAACTGGTCCAGTCCAAGAGTCAACAATAATTCAAATTTCATTATTTTCTACTTCAGATTGAACCCTCCAAATGTGATAGCTAAACAAGAGGATCATAATCACCAGGAAACATCTTCTAAATTCCCACAAATGTGTCTGCTCAGCTACCACAGAGCATCTGATGGCATTTATCTGTTCTGCTGGAAGTATCACCATGTTCCACTGAGTGGAACTGGGCACTGCTTTCTCACCCTGCCTTTTGAGGCATCGAATCTTCAACCTCCATACTACATGATGCTCTTCTGCAAGATAGGAGAGAACAGTCTTCATTTTGTGTCATGCAGTCTGCCTTCACATAGATCCAGTAACAGTTGGAATCATTTTCTGTTGTGAAAAAAGACTCTTAAAAATTTTTAGAAGGGAATTGAGTCAGAAGAAAAATTTAAATGGCAAACACCCAGGCTAATGCAAATACAACCCTGTGAATCATCTATAGCTGACTTGAAATAGACTAAGTGGATAATAGAAGATGAATAAAATTCTAAAAATTTCCAAATGAGTCTTAAGATTAGGGCTGAAACAGATCTGGGAAGACAACACTGTGATACCTTGGGCTATTTTACCTAAGACTGATGCCCTGAATACAGTTCTGAGGAAAATGACTCTGCCTCCAGGGTCAGCCCAGAAGAAGAGCTGCAAAGAAGCATTTCTGCAGTATTTAACTATGTATCCGGAAGTGGAAGTCTCCATTCTCAAGGAAAAGCTATGGAGCACTGAGAGTCCCCAGGGAGGAGGCTTGGGGAGAGGTGAAGAGGGTAATGGAACATCTGTACTTTAGTGCTTTATGCACTTGAAATTTATTTATAGTGCTTCTTTTCTTGATAAATGGAATTATCTTCTGAGTCTTATTTAACAAGGGACACATAACACTCTAAAATGCAAACTAAAAGCCATGACCGTAAAATTAAAAGGTGTTTGTACAAATTAAAATGCTGCATGTTTTGGGTTTGAATGAGGTTGAACAAGAAATCTTACATTACTACTTAGTTGTATTAGACATTTGACCTGATAAAATAAGGGTCTTCAGAAAGAACATTATAAACACAGGAGGTATCAGCATCAGAAGAGAATTGAGAAAGCATCGAGTAGAGTGGAGAAATAAAACATCACCTAATGTGTTTATAAATAGGGTATAGTCTGCTGTGCCATTCCCTATGGAAAAATGGAAAAAGTGGAGAAAGGTAACTATGAGCACACAACTAAGCTGAGATTCATACCAGTGCTTGCCTGTGAGGTGGGAACATGATGGAATCTAGCCAGAAGTAGAGATGTAAGTCACTAGTAGTGAGGAGCATTAAGTAGATTTGATGCTGCATAACTTATTGCGATCCTCTGAGTATTTTATGGGTGAACATGACCTGTCTTAAACATTGTTTAAGTAAAGAGGTTAATGTTAAATCTTTCTGCATCATAGAAATGCTCTGAGAAAAAAAAGGTGGCCTCACACAAACAGGTAAAAAAGAATGTCAAAGTTTTAAGCACCTACTTATTTGCAGACTGAAAGTATCTTTCATTCAGGCCAGGTAGAATCTGGCTGGGTTTTGGAGTTCTTTAACAACCATCTCTCCTCTGTAATGGCTCTTATTCAAGAAAATAATAACACTAATATCTTATCTGGTCTTTAATTCTTGTTATTAACTTCCTCTATTGTCTAGGATATCTGAGTGGTACAAAACTATATTAGTTCCATTCCAATATCCCCCTTCACCTTCTTCTTCTTTTAAATATCAAGTTCAACTAGGCAGGAGAAATGAATACATGCTAGTCTTAAAAAAAACCAGAGATGGTCTCTTAGAAGTATTATTATATTCCATTGCATTTTTTTTTCTGAAAATTCTTCTTTTGCCATGCCCAGCATGTAAAGCCTAATTAAAGAAATCAAATGCATCTAACACCTATGCATGTGATTTTTATTCTTCCAATCAGCCATTTGCCATATGTTTACTGTGTGCTCTGTATTGTCCAGCATTTGGTGACAAGATGTAATCAAACACCTGAAGATTGTCCCTCTCTGGGAAGGGAAAGGATATATAGATGGCCTATTATCATGTGAAGGTAGTGTCAAGGGCTGCTCCTAATTCAGTTTAGGTGAGGTTGTTAGAGAGGGGCAAGAGGGAGGGAAGAGAAAGGGGGTGAAGTAAAGCTTCCTGGGGAAAATGACACCTGAGCTTTGTCTTAGAGGATTAGCAGACATTAGGTGGAGGAGCCCAGGAAGCAAAGAAGACAAACTGGGTGAAATGAAAGGCAAAGAGACAAGGAAATGAGCAGAGAGCACACTGCTGCAGAAGGATAAAAACCAAAAGACCAGGAGTTTCTTCCCCTACTATGGAATTTGAATTTTAAGTGATGAAAGTTTTGAAGGCTCTTAAATTGGAAAGTAACAGGGTTATATTTTAGGCAGATTATTTTAAGAAAACAAGGCTGAAGAAAGGAATACCAGTTATATTGTTGTGAAAGACACTGAAGGCCTAAATGGAGGAGAAGGTAGGAGGGATTAATGGGGGGAAGATATTGGATATATTTGAGGGAAACGTAGAAATAAAATTTATACAGTACTTGGTCATGGTTTGGTTACAGGTAAGTGAGTTCCTTGGCTGCATTCTTAGTGTTTCAATGCTCCTCTCCCTGTCTCCGTCTCTGTCTCTCTATCCCTATCTGTCTCTGTCTGTCTGTCTCTCTCTGCTCTTCTATCAAAGGTGCCTGAGCTCTGGACCTACACTTTCTTTACTTTCTACCCAACAGGATCTCATGTTATGTCCTTCTGCTGAGAGGTACTCGTGCAATATTAGAAGAGAGCCTACTACTATTCCAGCAATGGTGTGAAGGCATGTAGGAGAATGACCTTTTTTCCTATGAGTTACCACATAATCTCCTAAGAATCTTTGTTCTGTAGACAGCTGAGATCTTTGTGGTAGACAGCTGAGATCCTTGAAATTCCTGTGATTTATTTCCCTAATGACTTTTCTAGTGGCGTCCCTGGCTTTTTCTTCTTAGTGCTTCTACCTAATTCTATAAACTTCTAAAATCTCTGTATTAATATTTTTCTGATTAAAAAGTCTAGAGTGGTTTCCATTTCACTAACCATGTTTCTGGAATCATCTGAAAGGTTTTCTTAGTAGGTGACTGAGTAGATGTTTAATTCACTCATTATTATGTATTATTTATTTATTATTATTCATTATTTATTGAAAATCTGCCACATTCCCAGGCATTCTCAGGTATAGAAATCAGAAACACAGTTACTACTATCATGACAACCAATGTTCCTACCCTTAAGGAGCTCAATGTCTAGAAAAAGAAATAAAAATACAAGAAACCAATAATTGAACAATGTAATTTCAGATGATAATGCTAGGAAGAAAATAGCAGAGGACTGTGGGAAAAATGATGTGTAGGTGGTGGAGTGCCTAACAGACTGCAGAGAACACAGTGGAGCCTGAATGACCTACATGTACCAAACTGCTAAAATACACTTTCATAATTTTTTTCTTTTTCTTTTCACTTTCATAATTTCTGTTATGAAGTGGAACCAAGGTTGGTTGGCTGAAGAAAGATAACAGAGGCCCATAACCCTACAACATAGTGGATGAAAAGAAGACACTAAGAGATCAGCCTGAGGGTTAGGTAGATGTCACATCATGTAGGGCCTTTCTGCCATGATATAAGAACTTGGAATAAGACTAAGGTTTTTAAGTAAAAGGGCAGTGCAATCAGATTTGTATCTAAACAATATCACTAGAGAAATTAGATTGTGGAAACAAATAGAAAAGCTACAAATGATTGCTAAATATTAAAAATATTAAATTGGACATGTCTCTAGGACATGCATTTGGCATGCAATAGGATGAGTCTTCCTGGAAAGATCTGGGATTGCATATGGGATTGGAAGTCTGTACACAGGTATCAATTGACACTCTCATAGTGAATGAGATAATGCAAAAGAGATGAGTAGGAAGAAGAGAGCACATGGTTAGGACTGACTTCCTGGAGCACCTATTTATAACGACAGCTGGAGGATGAAGTTCCCACAAAAAAGAGGAAAAAGGAATTTACAAGGTGTGGGGTAACAAAAGTCAAGAGATTTTCAGTACAGAAAGATAAAACAGGAGTTAAAATAGGACTGGGATTGGGAACAAGGAAAAGATAGCCACTTTTACCACTCTTATTCATCATTGGAGTGGATATCCTTACCACAACAATAAGGCAAGAAAGAAAAATAACACTTACACAGCCGGGGGGAAAAGACCTAAAAGTGTCTCTCTTCACAGGTGGCAACGTTGTCCACATAGGAAATTTCAAAGAATCGTCAAGAAAGGTGCTAGACTAATAAATGAGTTTAATAAGTTTTAAGATGTAAATATAAAAAAATCATAATTCTATATATGTAACAGCAATAAACATTCAAAAACTGAAAATAATGAACAATATCATTTGCAATATTACCACTAATTTTAATATTAAGGATTAAATCTAAAAAGATATATGCAAGTTTTATAGTATTAAAATATATGCAAGTTTTATATTATTTGGGTCTATGTCTGGCCTGTCATCCCTTCCCTCTGGTACTGCTCCCCTGCTCTATTACTTGGCAGCGATGAACTAAGCAGCTCTGCTCTGCCATTCCCTTCCACCATGATGTTCCTGCTTTGGAGCCTGCCAACCATATATGGAATCCCCTGAAACTGTGAGCTAAGTTTAAACTTCTCTTCCTTTAAATTGTAGGTGTTGGGTATTGTGTATCAGCAACAAAGCTGGCTATACAGGATAAAAGTTTCAATACCACTAGTCACTAGAGGAATGCAAAACCATAATAAGATATCATACTCTTTGGTATTCTTTCAAGAGAAATGAAAATGCATAGCTTTAAGTGGATGTTTACAGAGGCTTTATTCATAATCACTAAACCCCAGAAGCATAAATTTCTATAAGCTGGAAAATGAGTAAATAAACTGTGGTACATTCACAAAATAGAATCCTACTCAGTAATAAAAAGGAAAAAAAAATCTACTGACATTTGCAACAATATGGATGAATCTGAAATGCATTACACTAGTAAAATAAGCCAGATACAAAAGGCTCCATATTGTGTGTTTCGTTAATATGACATTCTGAAAAAGGCAAAACTATAGGACAGAAAGCAAATTAGAGTTTGCCAGGGGCTAGGGTAGGGAAGAAAACTACAAATGTACAGGGAACCATTTTGGGAGTGATGGAAATTTTCTATATCTTGATTTGGTGGAAGTTCCATGATTCTAATGTAATTTTCAATGTTCATTTATCTATCTGTGCACCTAAAGAGGGTAAATGTCACTGTCTATAGATTATGCTTTTATAAACTTGACTTTAAAAAGTGCCTGAGAATATCAATTGGTCAAGGCCAACAAAAAGATACTGGCAATCATTTTGAGAACAATTTTAGTGGTAAAGCCTAAAGCAAGATTGAGTTAGTAGCGTATATTTATTCAATGAGCTAGAAAGGAAGACAGAGAGGAGGACGAGTCAGCTTCTGCTGAGTTCTCCATCAATCAAATTAAATTGCTGTGTGACTTTCCCTCTAGGCTTGTAATTTAAACCCAGGAAAGTTTTGGTGGAGATGAGCCTGAAGGAGAGTATGGTGGAGCAATGATTCAGAACCTCTGAAGGCATTTTTATTTATGATTTTTAATTTGGAGAAGAAAATCCTGTCAAATAAAAATTAGAGAAAATAAAGCTTGGCAAACCTTTATTGTTTGATGTGGATATCCAGCATAAAAAAGAGACTCACGGTTGAGTCATGCTGCCAGCAATACTTTGGTGAATCAGTAGTGGCTACAGAGATGTGATTTTGAAAAATATAGTATAGAAGGGGGTGAAGGATGCACAGATAATGGGAAAAAACAAGAACTAAGATACATCATGTACAGGTACAAGCACCCAGTGATAAATGTAAACGTATTCTATACCTAAAATGTACCAATAAAAGAATTTAAGCAAAAAAAAAAAAAGAAAAGAAAAGAAAAGAAAAATACAGTATAATAAAAGGGGACATGGGACCAAACAATTACAGAAATTCTGGCTCATGAACTTAAGCTTGTGTTTAATATAAGATACAATATTGATATTATTTTAATTCTTCTTAAATGGTGATGGATTTGAAAGTTAACAGGAAAAAATTTGCTCTAAGTAAGAAAATAAATCAAATTTTGTTATTTCTACCTATTGTCTAAATGGTGAGGTAAAGACACTTTCTTTGATGTTGGATGAAACAACCTGAATCAGTTTCCCTTTGGAAACACTTTCAATATCTTTTGGATGGATGCACCAACATCTCACTCTGCCCAGTGTGGACGTGAGTGGTGAGTGGAGAAATGCTTGTACCATGAAATTAGGCTGCACACATGCGTCATGGAGAACAATTTTAGCTCAGAATGCATCTTTGAAGGCCCTGAGGTCTTTGAATTTGTGTCATTCAGACACATTTCTCCCCTCCTCCCAACTGCAACGTGTCCTAGCTAGGACGAATAAGTGACATATGGCATGTGTGAAATTCCCCTCCACTCTGCTGCTCTTCCCAGAGCTGCTGTGACAATTATAGCAACCTTGACTCCATAAG